GCAGTTTCAGCGTGCAACCAGGCGTCCCAAGTGACGTGAGAGCCTCATCCACAGCTCACAGATGCAACTATACCCACCAATCACTAGAGGCCTAAAAATCTGCACTGCTGATGCTGGATAACACATTCCAGGGAGCTGCGACTAGGCATGCTTCGCATCGAATCAGGCCTAGTCCGAAACTCGTCCGGCAGGGCTCCGGGCTGTCAAAACAAAGCCAGTTCCCCATTCTCTCTTGCACTCCTTGCTCTCTCCTGCTGTCCCTAGCACCCCTGCTATCTCCTGCTCCCCCCAGGCACCCCTGCTATCTCCCACTCTCCCAGGTGCCCCTGCTATCTCCTGCTCTCCTGGCACCCCTGCTATCTCCTGCTCTCCTGGCATCCCCAATGCTCTCCTGGGTGCCCCTGCCATCTCTGCTCTCCCTGGTGCCCCTGCTATCTCCATGCTCCCCCAGGCACCCCTGCTATCTCCCACTCTCCCAGGTGCCCTGCTATCTCTGCTCTCCCTGGACCCCTGCCAAACTCCTGCTCTCCTGGGTGCCCCTGCATCTCCTGTCTCCCTGGTGCCCCTGCTATCTCCTGCTCCCCCAGGCACCCCTGCTATCTCCCACTCTCCCAGGAGCCCCTGCTATCTCCTGCTCTCCCTGGTGCCCCTGCCATCTCCTGCTCTCCCTGGTGCCCCTGCCATCTCCTGCTCTCCTGGTGCCCCTGCCATCTCTGCTCTCCCTGGTGCCCTGCTATCTCCTGCTCTCCCTGGTGCCCCTGCCATCTCCTGCTCTCCCTGGTGCCCCTGCTATCTCCTGCTCCCCCAGGCACCCCTGCTATCTCCCACTCTCCCAGGTGCCCCTGCTATCTCCTGCTCTCCCTGGCACCCCTGCCAACTCCTGCTCTCCTGGGTGCCCCTGCCATCTCCTGCTCTCCCTGGTGCCCCTGCTATCTCCTGCTCCCCCAGGCACCCCTGCTATCTCCCACTCTCCCAGCCCCTGCTATCTCCTGCTCTCCCTGGTGCCCCTGCCATCTCCTGCTCTCCCTGGTGCCCCTGCCATCTCCTGCTCTCCCTGGTGCCCCTGCCATCTCCTGCTCTCCCTGGTGCCCCTGCTATCTCCTGCTCTCCCTGGTGCCCCTGCCATCTCCTGCTCTCCCTGGTGCCCCTGCTATCTCCTGCTCCCCCAGGCACCCGGCTATCTCCCACTCTCCCAGGTGCCCCTGCTATCCTGCTCTCCCTGGCCCCCTGCCAACTCCTGCTCTCCTGGGTGCCCCTGCCATTCCTGCTCTCCCTGGTGCCCCTGCTATCTCCTGCTCCCCACAGGCACCCCTGCTATCTCCCACTCTCCCAGGAGCCCCTGCTATCTCCTGCTCTCCCTGGTGCCCCTTGCCAATCTCTGCTCTCCCTGGTGCCCCCTGCTATCCTCCTGCTCCCCCAGGCACCCCCTGCTATCTCCCACTCTCCCAGGAGCCCCTGCCATCTCCTGCCTCTCCCCTGGTGCCCCTGCTATCTCCTGCTCTCCCTAGCGCCCACCGCCATCTCTCTAGCGTCTCCGCGTGACCGCACCTGGCACACCACCACACCTCTGCCGGGGCCTGAGGGGAGGGGGGGAGGGGGTGTCCTCTACACCGGACACAACAGCCGTTAGCGCGGCGGTGGCGCCGGCGGCGGCCGAGGCCGAGGCCGCGCCCGGCAATGGCTGGCCGAGCAGCGCGCCCACCGAGCCGCCTGTGTGCTGCTGCCAGATCTGGCGCGCCTCGGGGCGCACGCGGAACGGCCGGCAGGTGGCGTCGCCGAGCAGCGAGGCCAGCGGCGGCGGGCGGCGCCCGGTCGCCCCCGCCGCGGCTGGCTCATGGCACCTCTTGTGGGATAGACCACTGTGTCAGCTCCGGTTGGGTCGGGTCGGCCCGACACCAGCTTGGCACACTGCTGATGCAGATGTGTGAAACAGTGAGCCATGCTGGGGATGACATGGAGTATGAACAATGTCCAGAAGACCTAGGAGAACAGGAAATAAAAAAGGAGGTGACAACAGCAGCACATTTACAAACTGACTGTGATGAAGGTGACCTAGCAACCTCAAAGATGCAAACATTCATGCTGCTTTTGTTCCCACTTTTGGCACCTAAGGCTTCCACATGACAGTGACTGTACATCACAAAGGTGGAAGAAAAATCACTCAATGGTCCCCTGTATCTGCCTTTGGGGCAATAAATGTCACTGGACATAGGCTATGTGCACCATAGACAAATAAAGCTCAACCCCGGCCCAAAACACCCACCTAACCTAGAGCCTGGCTATCAACATCTTTCCATGCCACAATTATTTACTTTAAACTGACCACATCTGGGATGCAAGGTTAGATACACATGCACTTAAGAGAATATCTCACTGGCCTGTGCCCATATTATAGCAAATATGACCTCGAGCCATTCAGGGGGCCGTGAAAAGTTGCCTAATTTTACACTTCCCATCACAAAGGTGTATGGAGCTTGAGATAAATACAACATGAAAATTGTAAGGACACATGGTTTCTGCCTGCCAAAAGAAATGCTATCAGGTTCTTGTATGTGGTCTTGTAAACACTGTCATCATCAACACGACACTGCTACCTCATTGCCAAAATGTCTGCATGCCCACTATTACAGTGTGTTTAACTAGGGAGTAGGATAATGGGAGGAGTTAGGGATTGGGAATATGGATAGAAAATGAATACTGCCAGATAACAGGGTGAAAATGGCAGTAAAGTTGGAAATGAAGCAGTTGTTTCTGGCAATCTGCTGTAATACTGACAGTCATACACTCTGCAGTGCACACTGTACCAACATCATGTACCATAAACCCGTCCTACCCAACGGCCTGACGCCAAACCATGCGACGTTTACCGGAGATCACACAATAAAGTAGAACACCACACAGTAGGGTATTCGTAAGTCGTAACCCCAGAAACATTCGTAATCATAACCTGCAAACATTCCAAACAAGCCTAAAACAACTATTGTGACACGACACAAAATCAAGACACTAAGCTCACAATCACCTTCCGCACTTACAGCTCAACGCGGCGGACCCTGGATGGTCCTCTCCTAGTATTTCCCTGAAGTCCCGCTCTCCCACATATCACGATAGCAACTCTCGTCTGTCGGCTTCCCTCCGCGAACCCGATCGTTGTGGCGTTCAGTGATCTTAAAACTATTTCAGGGCACGTTCGGGACCAGTGGTTAGCAAAGGCTAATTTTGTGTAAGCCAGTCACACGCATAAAGGCGAAACTGTGACCAATCAAAAACAAGTTTTTAACTCACCGTTTGCAAAGCTGGTGGCCCCGAATGCAGTATTTGTAAACTGATGTTCTGCGGCGATAAGTGCGCACGCCGCTCAACACGCTATTGTTGTGGTGGTATATGGCCTTGGTGTTAATCATGTCAGGATGCATCTTCCATTTATTGACTGGTGGGTTGTGGAACGGAGGGCAAACATTATTCAGATGTCGTCCTTATGGTCTCTGTGCATAGGCTAGATATCTGAGTTGATTTGGAATATAAATTTTCATGAAAATGACAATGTTGATTCAGCGGAAAGAGTGGGCTCACGGGAATATTTTTTGAAGACCATTGCTATCGCTGAATAAATCAAGTTAGTAGATAAATTTATTTGAACATTTGTCACTATCAGTCACCTAAATGGATTCTATCAAAGGACCTGAATTGGGTAGTAGCAACACATTTGAATGGACTGTGTAAAACACTAGGTTGCAATGTGACACATGCACATGTGATTCAGCACCACTCATTCAAATATTGCTGTGCTTCTCAGCATCCAAATTGGAATAACCATGTGAGGGAAGACCAGCAGTCAGAGCGCATTCAAATGGTAGGCATGCATTTGAAGATTTATCATTTGATCACAATTGACTTACATATTAATACTTTTCAATACATTTGGTGTGTTATGTCCTAAAAATTTATTGAACAGTTTAGTGTTGTAGTTTAAGGTACTGATATAAACCCTGACCATTTGATACCTTGATATTGTGACATGCTAATTGCATGTAAACAATGTTAATGTTTATAAGCTGTCAACAAGACTGTTCTGTCATTGAAGTAGCTGTTGTCACCACATGACTGCAACACATCTTTAGAGATGTGGAACTCCAATGGTGGTGGAAATTGACCTGCCTTGACATCTGTACTGTAAACCATATTCATAAAGCATGCTGTGGAGCTGATCAGGTGACAGATCATACAGTGTATGATCATGTGTGGATCATGTGGTGTTGCAGCAGATCATGTGATGTAGCTGTAGCATATCCTGTGCAGTTGCAACAGATCCCACCAACTTTGATAGCATGCTGACACTGTGGGAAATAAAAAGGTTAGGTGTGAAGAGCATGATAATGAAAATTTAGGTATCATGTTTTACAGCATGTTGTCTTTCACAATGAAGTATGGAGAAATATAAACAAATCTGAGCCATCATGCTTGTTTCTTGCTCAGGAGATGGGGTTCCAAAGCACAGGCTCCTGGTGTGAAGATGATGTAGATGATGATGAAGGCATGAAGGACTGAAGGTGGTGGTGATCCACAGGGATATTCAGCAGCCAAACCTGATGTGTCTGCAGGACTGGAGAGGTCATGTGTCATGTCAATAGCTTAGCAGAGATACAAGACATGTTGCAACACTGCAGCCAAGAACAGTGGAATTTCAAGTTTATTGTCTGATTGATCAAGGCCAGAAATAGTTTTTGTATCTCCTAGAAGTGTTTGGGTCATGTCTGCATACTGTTTGTAAGCCTTCCTTTGGTTGATGAGGAAAGGAAGGAATAACAGTCCTCTCATTTCCAGACAAATGTTTGCTATGCAAAAGTCAGCTGTGTCTGTACCAGATGCAGTGCTTGTGTCACAGGTGTGCATTGTCTGATTGCTCAATGATTTGCCATGAACACTGTTTTAGCCAGGGATTGTTTGTTATTACAGACAAGCCACCATATCCACCCAATGTCAAACCCAATCCCAAAGCAATGGTGCTGAAAGAAGAGAGGTTAGAAGCGAGTATATCTCCTTACAAATTTTGTGGGTTACCTGTTTTCTTCTCAACACAACCAGCTGCATCCTCTCAGTACACAGGAAAGGGTTGATAGTTCAGTGCCTCCTACTACCACATACTGATCTGTGCTCAAATCTGGGCGACCTGGGCTCACATCTGGCAATCTGGGCTCAAATCTGAACAATCTGGACTCAAACCTGGTCAATCAGGTCCTTCAGGGTACATGTTTGGGCATTCTGGGCTCAAATCCTGGCTGTGCCATGCTCCCCTAGATCCGCGCTGTGAACCCGTTGCACGCCAGCTCCCAGTGCACGGCGTGCGTGCGCCAGGTGCAGCACGTGCTGCGATGCCGCCGGGACCGCGTGTTCGGCGCAGCGCGGCCGGAGGAGCGCCGCCGACCGGGGGCTGACGTGCCGCCTCTGGGGCATGTGTTCCGTGTGTCGGCGACGCTGCGCCGACACCTCGCCGCGCGCGCCAGCCAGAGGTCGTTCCGCTGTGACGCGTGCAGGCAGGCGTTCAGGGAGGCGTTCTTGGACGTTCACGCGCGTGCTCACACAGAGCCGGAGGTGTTCAAGTGCGACGTGTTCGGGGATGCGTTCGGTCGGTCTTCGGAGCTGACAGACCACGCGCAGTCGCACGCCGAGGACAGGTCGATCAGCTGTGGGGCGTGCGACAGGGCGTCCAGGAGGATGTACCAGCTCAGGCGGCACCAGCGCGCGTTCACACGGGCGAGCGACCTTTCAGTTGCCGCGCCTGTGGCCAGGCGCTCGCGCTCAACTCCTCGCTCCGAGCGCCCGCGCGCGTCCACACGGGCGAGCCGCCGCTCAGCTGCCGCGTCTGTGGCCAGGCGCTCGCTCGCTCCGAGCGGCCGCGCGCGTCCACACGGGCGAGCGGCCGTTCAGCTGCCGCGTCTGTGGCCAGGCGCTCGCGCTCAACTCCTCGCTCCGAGCGGCAGCGCGCGTCCACAAGGGCGGGAGGCCGTACGGCTGTGAGGTGTGCGGTGGGTCGCTCCGCCGCAAGGTCCGCCTGCAGCTGCACGGCTGGACGCACTCCGGCGAGAAGCCCACCGCGTGCGGTGTGTGCGGCCGGTCGTTCGTGCAGAACTCGGCGATCACCGCCCACGTGCGCACGCACCCAGCGAGAAACCGTTCCGATGCGAGCCGTAGAGCCGTGCGGCAGGACGTTGGCGCACAGCAGGTCTCTGCGCGAGCGCCGGCGTGCGCCGTGCGCCGGCGCCAAGCCGTTCTGATGTGCGGCGTGCGAGAGGGCGTTCTCGCGAGGGCGGCCGCGGCGGGCTCATGCCCTCGCGCACTGGGCGGAGGGGGCTCCCAGCAGGTGCGGTAGCGGCCTCTGAGTCGCGTTGTTGGTAATGTGCGCGGGTAGCTGCAGCTTCGTCGCGCGTGTGTCGATGAGTTTTGTTGAAAAGGCCGCGGATTTCGGTGGGCTGCTGTGTCGCTGGGCTGTGTTTCTGCTTTCAGTGCCGTGCTAGTGTGAGCCTCATTTCGTTTACGAAGGGAGGAACACTGCGCGACGAAGGGAGGGTGAATACATTGTGCGACGGACGCCTTGCCGGTGCTCAAGTTTGACTGTGCCGTTCGTCCTCGCGCCCTCCTTCGGACGGGCGGCCCTACGAGGCTGCCGGTGGCCTCAGGACAGAACAGCTGCTAGACTGCCGGCCCCGACAGCTGTCTCGACCAGGGCAGCAGACCTCTGATGCTCAGTCCGGTCCATGCTCGCGGCGAGTGTCTGCTGAAGCTCTAGCTTTTGTGGAAGGTCTGCAGCTGAACGGTTTAGCTTTTGTGGGAGGCCTGCGGCTGAACGGTATAGCTTTTGTGGGAGGCCTGCAACTGAACGGTATAGCTTTTGTGGGAGGCCTGCGGCTGAACGGTAACAAACCCAGCACGTGTGCAACAATGCAATTGCAGCGGGCCATGTCCTCCGAAGGCGGATCACGAGCGCGCATCCGGTGGTGTGGTCACATTCAGACGAAGGCGGAGGGGCGTCTCTGTCGTCTTTCGCCATAGAGAGATTCGCGGACAGAGACGAGCAACCTCCCGCACTGTGAACCCGATGCTAACAATGCGACCGGAACGGGACGGGTGCTTAAAGACCAGCATCGAGAGAGGTGGGCGGCGACCATCGAATGGCGGCTGTGCGAGGGGGGGGGGGGGGGGGGGCCGGACGACCGGAGAGCTGACATGCGGTTGCCTGTCCCCACCGCTGGAGGGCCGGAAGTGTACGTTGTTCCGTGCGGGGCATGGAGAATGCCGGCAGAATTGTCACCACGTCCGTCGTGGAAGATGACTGCGTGTGTGATAATGAAACAGATCCTGACGTTGCGATGTGATCGGAGTACGCACGCGCATGTGATGTCCAGATAGCATGTCCATGACAGGTAGCTTTGGGTGTTTTCTGATGAGTTTCTTCCACTAAGTTTTCGGAAGCTTTCCGAAGTTTGCGGGATAAATTTACGCCGTTCAGGATGACCAAACCAGCCGTTACGCTTTTTTTACCAAACAAATGACATCCGCCTTCGCACAGACCAGACAACTGATCGTCGTAATTAATGATCGGTGATGAGCCAGATGTCCTGCCTTGCCGCGGCCCTCGGTGCGTGCGAGACCACGGGACCGGCGGCTGGTCGGCCAGGTCCGCTGCTTCTGCTCCTGACGCTGATGCTGCCGCAGAGCTGTTAGTTGTTCAATGCTCTTCAGAACGTTCGCGATTGTTGGCACTGACGTCAGCCGGCTCGGCGTGAACCGGCGCCTCCCGCTGCCGTAGTGGCGCGTCGGCCGGTCGGAGTCATCCCGCCGGCCCCACCCCGGGAGTCTGGCACGTGCAGACAGGCCTCGAGAGCCGCCATCCGCCCCCTCCCCACACACTTCCCCTCCCCTCGGCGCATACACACGGCTCGCGCGCCGCTCACACAAGCTGTCGCGGCGGCGTCGAGACCGCTCGTGACGGCGATCAGCGACGCGGCCTACGCGCGATCGTGACGGATTGTCCCGGGTCACCGCGCATGCGCACCGCGGGGGTCAGCAGCGCCCTGGAGGTGGCTCAGCGCCGCGGGGCTCCACAGCTTCAGGTCGCCGCTGGTCCGTGACGGCTGGTCCGGGTCCGTGGGCGTCACGGGCTCGGGTCAGGGCTGGTCCGTCAGCCTGTTGTCGGCCTCCTCGGCCTGCTCGTCGGCGGACGCGGCCGTGTCCCCGTACAGCTGCTCTGGGACCGGTCCCGGCCGCAGCGCGTTCGTCTCCGTCAGCTCGTTGGATAGCTGTGATTGGTCCCGACAGGCGGGTACCTTCACCTGGCAATACAGAACGCACCCTCACTGTCGCCTAGCAGCACAGTACGCACCGTCACTGTCGCCTACCAACACAGTACGCACCGTCACTGTCGCCTAGCAGCGCGGAACGCACTGTCACTGTCGTCTAGCAACACAGAACGCACCGTCACTGTCGCCTAGCAGCACGGTACGCACCGTCACTGTCACCTACCAACACAGTACGCACTGTCACTGTCGCCTAGCAACGCGGTACGCACTGTCACTGTCGTCTAGCAACACAGAACGCACCGTCACTGTCGCCTAGCAACGCAGAACGCGTTGTCACTGTCGCTTAGCAACACAGTAAGCACCGCCACCGTCTCCTAGCAACACAGCACCGTCACCGCCTCTGGCGAACATAGCACATACCTTCATCGCCACCTGGCAACGTAAGATGTGCGCTACCGTCGCCTGGCAACGTATGTCATCCGACCGTTGTCGTCCAGCAAGGTAGAGCACACGGCTACCACCGGTTATCAGACTAGTTGCTCACCGATGCCGGGTAACGAAGAACTAAAGGCTCTTAGCGGTTTTAATTTCCATAAAAGCTGGCACTCGGGTGAGATTTACGCGACGAATAGCTTCTGCGAGCAGACGACTAAAACCAAGCGTTTTGTGCCAACATTTTTCGTGCCTAATACCAACGAAAACGGCCTATGCTCTCTTGACGTCCCAGCCACCAGCAACGAGCACAAACTGACTCAGTCTGCAGGGCCAGCCTGCACGGGGAGGGGACTGACCTGTCTGAGCTTGTAGGGGAGGAACCGGCCGCCCTCGGGCCGTACCATGGCGCGAACAATGTACCTCTGGCCCGGGGGCAGGTCACTGAACATGACCTCCACCCGTTTCCTGAAACAGACGGAGGCGGTGGTCGGCACAGGTACGCATGTACACATGGTGGTACATGACACATGGACAGCGGCAGCAGGCCAGCTGTGTACGCATGTACACATGGTTGGCACATGGCACATGGGTGGCGGCAGCAGGCCAGCTCGGGGCTCACATGGCTGGCGGTCGGTCCAGCATAGCATCGGCATCGGCGATGGGCCGGCGCCAATACTGCCGCCGCGCCTCGCTGTAACAAGGTTCGGAAGAACATCCAAGGCTTTTAGGAGGATGGTGGGTGTCAGTTGGAGGACACTACACTCCCCGTATTTTAGAGGAAACTGCCTGGCATTGGAAGAAAAAACAATTTTTGTCATATTTTGGGGGTCCAGCTTTACCATTTTCCCTGCGTAGACCCCTCAGCTGATTTTGTGGAACTCCGCCCCTGACCATGGGTACAAACAGCTGTTCATCGCAGCCTTGACCGGGTGAGGAGCAATTTGGCCCAGGCCCCGCCTCCCTCCGCGGGTCTACCGGCGGTGGGAGGCGGGGCCTCCGCCGCCGCCGCGAGCGCACCCTCTCCTCAGCTCCCGGCTGGAGCCGCAGCGGGTCAGGTTGGCAGGGCTCCGCTTCTGGCGCGCCTCCAGGCCGCACACCGAGGGGGGCTTGAAGCGTCGGCCGTCCTGGCTGCTCCTGTCTTCCTCCAGGAGCACGCAGTACTCCAGGCGGCGGCCCTGCGAGCGCGCCATCTGGAGCCGGAGTTGCTGTCAGAAACAGGAACGCGCGCTGCTCGAGGGAGTGGGCCTCATGAGACCGTGAAAACCACGCACAAAACTGCTGCTCTGAACCTCACGCTACCCACATCGCTACGGTATGTTCGTGGTCCAGGCCTGCGTATTACTCCGGAATGAAGATCTCCGCACCAACCTCAGCATAACGGACAGCTCCCCCCCCCCCCCCTCCTCACACAGTGTGTCTCCCCCCCTCCCCCACCCACTCACTCAGTGTGTCTCCCCCCCCCCCCCACCCCGGCAGCGCGGCACGTACCGTGATCACCATCTGCCCGCAGCTGAGGCCGAGCCTGGCGCGGCGGCGGCGGCCGGCCGGCCGCACTGCCACGCGGTCGGGCAGGGCGGCCAGCCGCAGGCGGCGCGGGCTCCGGGTGGCCTGGAACTCGGCGCTGGTGGCGCCGCCTGTCGCGCGCAGCTCGAACTGATAGCGCGCGCGGCCGGTGCTGTTGAGCTTGCCGGCAAGGAGGCCGACGCCGCTGACGTCCGCTGCCAGGAGCTGGACAGGGCCGCCGCCGCCGCCGCCGCGCAGCACCCGCAGCCGCAGCGGGCCCCCGCACGAGACGACGTAGTAGTGGAGCGCGCTGGCGCCTCTGCCGCCGGCGCGCAGCGTCAGCCGCCGCAGCGGGCGCGACGGCGTCAGGCGCAGCCGCGTCACGGCTCCACGGCGCACCGTCAGAGACCCGTCGGAGAGGTCCGAGTACCTGCCAGCGACCGGCAGCGACGGGTCAGAGGGTCGCCGGTGCTCGCACGCCGCCCGGGGAGGGGCGGGGGCGTCACTGCCGCTGTGATGTGTTGATTTTCGCACGATGTGCTCTGGCTGTAATCATTGGTTTTCTTCACTTGTGGCCAGGGCGTGTATTGGAATGCGGAGCGTAGCTCACCGAGCTGAAAGCGGTCAGACGCGCGCTACGAACGCTAACCTCCACTAGCGGCGTCAATGTTGCTGCCCTTGGTTTGCCAGCTTGAGCTTACCCTCGCCTCAAAGCTGGTTGAGGTGAAGTTGGCCAAGGTTGGTCGTGGAAAGCAAACGACGGCCTGAGCTCGAGCCTGACTTGAGCCCAGTAAGGCAGCCGAAGAGAGGGTCAAGAGGGTCAAGGTCAGAGGAGAGGGTCAAGGTCTCCTCCATCCATGAGCCAAGAAGCTTACACTAGATACTGGGCGGCTTTACGAAAGCAGATTTCTCAAGAGTCTGGTCGGATTAGCAGGATTCGGGATAAGATGTGAGGTGCCCTCCTCACGAGGGGAACTTGGGCCGCGTGCCTGTGTCAGCCTCGACCCCGATCGCCAGATCCGCGTGCCTGCCTGGGCCGCGTGCCTGTGTCAGCCTCGACCCCGATCGCCAGATCTGCCCGCTGCACACTACTGCGGGCATTACGCCATCACGCGCACCTGAACTCGCCGACGCCGTACTGGAAGCTGACGCTGCTGTTGATGTACTGCCCGAACACGGTCACGTGGTAGCGCGGCCCGGGCACCAGGTCATACAGCGTGTAGGCCGTGTCTCTGCCCACGCAGCCGACGGTGATGGTCCGGTTCTGCGCCGCCTGGTTCCGCCGGCGGCGCGACGGTGGCGCCGCCTGCTGGCGACGCCGCCGCTCCCCAGTGGCATCTGGCGCCTGTTGGCCGAACTTGGCGCTCAGGGCGCCGCAGACCGTGCTGAGGGAGGCGCGGAGAACGATAAGGTTCTCACAGCGGAGAACGGTCGGCCTTCCGCTGGCCGGCGACACGGCCGGGCGCAGTCAGCTGTCTCAGCAGCTTACGGCGAGAGCCTCGACCGAGCGAACTCATCAGCAGCGCATTGAGCCGGTGGTTATAGTTACCCTTCATTCTTTAGTGTTCGCCTCCTGGCTTCGATAGACTTTCGTCATATCCCGCAGCAGAGATACAAAATTGACCACGTAGCCCATGATAACGGCAATGCTCACCCTATTCTATCTGCCAGACGTCGGGAGGCGACAGAAGGCGCCGGATAACACTTGCATGACGCTGGCACTGGCACGTCGCCACCGCGGAGAAAGACAGATCGAGCACGTGGTGAAGTCGACGTCAGGCTGGCTCCACCGGTGGTCTCCCAGTGTGCCTCCTCACGGCTGTCTACGGCGATGACTCGAGTCCACAGAGCACAGTGTCCGCCTGAGTTTGCATTCCGCAGTGCCCAGTCCGCAGCGTCCAATCCACAGTGTCCGGTTCGCAGTGTGCAGTTCGCAATGTACAGCCCGCGGTGTGCAGTCCACAGGGGCAGTCGGCAGTGTGCAGTCGGCAGTGTGCAGTCCGCAGTGTGCAGTCTGCAGTGTGCAGTCCACAGAGGCGGTGTGCAGTGCGTAGTCAGCAGTGTGCAGTCCGCAGTGTGCAGTCCGCAGTGTTCAGCCTGCAGTGTGCAGTCCGCAGTGTACAGTCCGCAGTGTGCAGTTTGCATTGTGCAGTTCGCAGTGTGCAGTCTGCAGTGTGCAGTCCAGAAGGGCAGTCCGCAGTGTGCAGTTCGCAGTGTGCAGTTCACAGGGACAGACTGCAGTGTGCAATCCGCTGTTTGCAGTCTGCAGTGTCCAGTCCACAGGGACAGTCCGCAGTGTGCAGTCCACAGGGGCAGTCTGCAGTGTGCAGTCCGCAGTGTCCAGTCTGCAGTGTCCTTACCTGAAGTGACCACCGGGCGAGGTGATGAGGCAGTAGTGCAGCGCCTGACCGCCGAACGAGGCCGGCGCCCAGCGGATCTCCGCCCGGTGCCGGGTCTTACTCTTGACCTTGACCGCCGTCTGAAGGGCACCTGGGGCACGGGGAAACATCGGGAGAGGAACGTCAAGCGGGGCCCGAGGCGCACTGTGCGCATTAAGAGGGTGTGGAAGGAGCCGCGGGCTGACGAACAGCAAGATGGTGAGACCGCTCAGGTGGACAGTGTAGAAGGAGTAACGGGCTGACGGACAGCAAGATAGTGTGACCGCTCAGGTGGAGAGTGCGGAAGGAGTCACGGGCTGACGGACAGCAAGATAGTGAGACCGCTCAGATGGAGAGTCGATGTGCACTAGAGGTTTGATAGAGCACTCAAGTCAACACAGTTGAGTTGATAAGTAATTGCAACCACACTTTACATCGGGGCTTGATTGAGCATCAGCGACAACTGCCAACTCAACCGGACAAATTCTAACTTAACACTGACGACTCTGACTTCACTGCACGTGACCTCTCGAGTCGCCACCCCTCCCGAGACGGAAAGCACCTGCCGCAGCGGAGGGCGCGCGCCCAGAGGCGCCCGAGCCGACGGGCGGCCAACCAGCACACGCACTGAGACCAGCCAGGTCCTGGTCGGCTAGCAGCCAACCAGCACACGCACTGAGACCAGCCCGATCCTGGTCGGCCAGCAGCCAGCCAGCACACGCACTGAGACCAGCCCGATCCTGGTCGGCCAGCAGCCAGCCAGCACACGCACTGAGACCAGCCCGATCCTGGTCGGCCAGCAGCCAGCCAGCACACGCACTGAGACCAGCCCGATCCTGGTCGGCCAGCAGCCAGCCAGCACACGCACTGAGACCAGCCCGATCCTGGTCGGCCAGCAGCCAGCCAGCACACGCACTGAGACCAGCCCGATCCTGGTCGGCCAGCGGCCAGCCAGCACACGCACTGAGACCAGCCAGATCCTGGTCGACCAGCGGCCAGCCAGCACACGTACTGAGTCCAGCCAGATCTTGGTCGGCTGCCAGGAAGTGCACGTAAGTGTCGCGCAGGGCGGTGATGTTGATGTCGTAGGCGCCGGGCTGGCCGCGTCGCTCCGAGTAGATGGCCTGGTCAGGCCCGGCCAGCCGCTGCACGGTCAGCCGGCTCTTACCGCCCTCTGTCGGCGGCCGGGCGGAACACTCGTCACACAACGGCCGGGACGATTGTCACACACAAGCTAACAGGAATTAACGTTCGCATGGAGTCTAGGCAGGGATTTTTGAATGTTGTTTCAGCTCGCAGCTTGTGGGCGTTTAAGAATCCCGTTGCATCGTCTACGTCCCAGGGTTTTGTTGGAATCCTCGCCCTCACTGGGACCCGAACTCGCATCTGACAGGCGGATTCCAACACGTGGAACAGCCATTGACACGCTATTGCAGGGGCCCCAGATACTGTTCGCAAAGCGCACAAGTATCTATACAGCTAGCCCTCAGAGCTCCTTCCCTGAGCACGCTGTCGTGCCACCGCTGCCCGGCGGACCACGTACCGCGACGGTCTCCCCTCCCCCTCCCGGCTGGACATGGGGGGGGGGGGGGCTCCACATGGCTGGTGTGAGTCCCGGCTGCCTGCCTGCTCCGCACTGCTCTCACGCTCGGCCCAGCTCAGCTCAGCTCAGCCCAGCTCAGCCCAGCTCAGCTCAGCTCAGCTCAGCTCAGCTCAGCTCAGCTCAGCTCGGTGTTCTGAGCCTGGTCTCGTGAGGTGGAGCTAAGAACTCGTACATTTCTAAAGAAGGTGCGTCGTGTGAGCACACAAGCGGGAATCAAGCCAGTGTGACGGAGTCTTTCGATGTTTTAGTGATTGATAAATATGGCACGTTTGTGGGCAAAAGTTGTTTGTGGTCTAGGAGTCCCTGAAATATGAGCTGACAAACTGTAGGTGCGCAGTCATTCTATGTGACGATGCCAGGGTGAGTCGTGTCCCAATGCTGCCGTGCCAGGCTTCCGCCTCGAGCAAACGTGGACATGCCGGTGCCCTTACACGCCCCGTCACAGCGTCCAGCCCCGGTGACGAGGGCGACCCGGCCCCGTCCAGGTCCGCCCGGTGACCCTGGCGACCCCAACGACCCAGGCGCGGATCACTCCGCCGTCCGCCGCGGTGAGCACCCAGTCATCGGGCTGTGGCGGTGCCCTACCCCGCAGCACAAGACGTCGGAGCCCACCCACCTGTCACAGGGGACAGCTGATCACGCCCGGCTGTCACGTGCGACGCTGATGGATGGTGCGGGGGCGTGGGATAGGTCGCGCCGGGCCAGCGGTCAGCGAGGTCAGGGCTGAGCGGTACCGAGCGCTCGGATGGGCACGGGCCGCCCCGGCCGCCGCCGGCGCCGGGGCGACACTCAAGACCGACTTTATCGCCGCCGCGAGCCGACCTTCGACGCCGATGGCGGATTACCGGACATTTGCCGGGGTCCTGCTGGTTTGTCGGCTCGCGTGGACATGGGCGGGATGGAGGAGCCGTAGGGGATGGCAGGCAGGGGTGAGATATGCCGCCGCCGGTGCGCTCGCCGCGGAGGAGACGTGTGTCTGTGCTGGATGCGGGATGCCGGACATACAGCAGCGGTGGTGTGGACCACACCGGCGAACACGCT